ACCTCATGATTTACAATTTTTCTGTGCATTGACATTTACATTGATTGCTTGACATTTGATATATACTGTGCTACTTGTGGAGAAGGGAATAAAAACCAGAAAAATTGATTGAAATCGAAATATTAAGCCAAGATCTTATGTATGCACGATTAATGATTTGTTACTCTGATGTGATTTTTTTGATAGCAAAAGCATACTGTTTGCCTGTTTGGTTTCTTATTTACTTAGTTACTGATAATTTTAGTTTCCTCTTAAATATAAAAGTATTTTCACCATGGGGTAATATGCTCTCATCCTCTGTTTTTCATATGTAAGCTCATCCTCTGTTTTTTGTCTGCAAGCCTATTCTCTGTTTCTCATATATGTAAGGTTTTATGTCTTCAAAATTTGTTAAATAACTTAAATATCAGTATTTATCTTTTTGTGTGCAGTATACATTCCTCTGATTTACTCACTCTATTTGGATCAGATAGCAGAATTGGATAGAAAACGGAGAATAAGAGTGGGATTAAGTTAAACGGAGATGAAATTTGTGAAAGAGAGACGTGGCCACTCGATCCTGATGTACTACCTGCATGAACAAAGGTATTCTACTTCTGTTAGAATTTTCTTAACTTAGTTTTGCCACAATATAGTAGGCAAAATAATAAATATTTGATTCAATGGAACTGTGTAATAGTTTGGCTTATTGGTGAGGGGTGATGTAAGCAATGCACAATTAGCTGTAAGAAGAAACTAATAAAGCTTAGTTAGGCTACCCATTTATTGCACAATTAGTTGTTTGAAGAGACTAAAGCTGGAATATGTAGTTTGTAATGAGCAGAAAAACATCTCGGAGCTTATCAGGACAATTGTTGTTTCAGCTCCCTTTATGGCTATCAATCTTAGTACTTAAGGGCGTCCTTCCATCCATTCTCAAATGTAGTTTTCTATGGGGTGTATGATATACTTGAAACTCCTATCTGAATTCACCTTAAGGAAGGGAAAGGTTAGAGAAAACGATGTTCCAGGGGCAGGATATAACAGCCTTGAGTCTACCGGAATTGAGCTGTGTAAGAAACTAAGAACCTTACTGTATGGGCCTATACCTGGTGCTTGTGATGAACTGTTACCTATCCATTTGAGGTGGTCAGGGGACATCTTCAAATGCAAGTTTCATGGAGCAAGATTGATTACTTTGGCAACTTATATTAAGATAGTCAAGCAAGGAGGGATTTTGGCTCTCTATGTTGGACATCTTCCCAGTATATTCAGGTATAAATGATTAGCCTATAAATGAGCCTAATTATTTTTTGCTCATTTGTCAAATGAGTAAAAAAATTCAATGCTCCTTTGTCAAATGAGCAAACTATTTAATGCTCATTTGTCAAATGAGCAATTAATTTTTTGCTCATTTGTTAAATGAGCAATTATTTTTTTGTTCATTTATCAAATGAGCAATTAATTTTTGCTCATTTGTCAAATGAGAAAAAAAATTCAATGCTCCGTTGTCAAATGAGCAAACTATTTAATGCTCATTTTTCAAATGAGCAAATGATTCTTGCTCATTTTGTCAAATTAATGCTCATTTGTGAGTGTGTTTAAATGTTTTAAATATGTTAGCCTACTAGCTCAAGGGTAGAGCATTGTGCAAATGCACAAAAGATGTGGGTTCGAATCCCACGTAGGTTCATTTAAGTAATGTGGAGACACAAGTTTGTAGTGTGAGCAAAGAAATGAGCAAACTACACCCAATTAGCATGTAGAGTAGTGTGAAATTGTAGAGTTTGAAGATTTTGAGTAGTTAATGAAATTTATTTCTTTTGGCTGTTGGGAAAACAATACAAAAGACACCCAATGCTTCCGGTTAACAGCCTTTTCGTATGTTACTCAAACATTTGACAGCTTCTAAAACATGATTAACAAATTGTACCAAATGCACAAAGAAAACGATCTATGCTAGTGATAAGCATTTAGTTAGTAGTGTTGAGCATGAAATGTGTTAGTCATATAGAAACCCAAATACAGAAACTTCTCTTGGAACGGAGCAGCAAAATCATACCAGTAGAAGTGGAAAAATTAGAACTTTCAGTGTCAGCTGTATGCAGCTGTCTCTATAAACATCTTGAACTGCAATCTTCATTGTTATTTCTGTTCCTTTCCCACACGAGTGATGCGATCAATTATTACGCCAATGCTAACCGCGAAATTCTTGTGTACTAAGCAATTGCATCTTCGTTTATTGACACTGCTTGTGTAGCTTGGCATCAGAAGAAGAAGTACTGCAATTATGTATACAACAGGAAGCATGATTAACTTATAACTTACAAAAGTTTGAAGTTAAGCTGGAAAAGGAACACCTATTATTTGATCAAGAGGAAGTTGCCTTGGCTAATTCGTGCTAAAAATTTAGGACATTGTATAAGTCATATTACAATTATAAGACATGTATAAGAATTGAACAACGATATTGTTGAGCAGAAAAGGAGAGATGATCAAGTTTTTTTTGAAGGTTTTTTTTATATAGTTACTTATAAATACAACCTATGTAGGATTCGAACCTACATCATCTATGCATTTGCATAGTGCTCTACAACTTGAGCTAATAAGTTTTTAATATAGATCAACGCCCTCCCATAGAAGCAGAGGAAAACAATCACATGTAGAAACTGAAATGCCTCCATTATAACTACAACAGCCACAATAGCTCACAAATTACCCAACACATGCTCACCGAACACAACTACTACTAGGAAGTATTATCAAGTAAATTAGTAACAAGTGAATATGCACCCCCTTAAACACACTTACACACACACTCTCAATAATTAGAACTGAAATCAAATTCTTAAATAAGAATGTACACGACCAGGAGAAAACACACACACTTACACATACACTCTTACACTCACTCATACACATAGACACACACACACACACACACACAATAATTTCATAATCTAAAATTAGAACTGAAATCAGAACTACAAGCAGAAAGATGAGGGGGCAGGGGGGATAGGTTTGTGCAGGGAAGTGGAAGAAGGGAGTGTGGTTGGTGTGCAGGAAACAGATCAAGAAGAAGGGGGTGGGGCTTGTGCACAGGCAAGCAGACCAAGGAACTCAATGCTCATTTGTGAAATGAGCAAATAATTGAATGCTCATTTGTCAAATGAGCAAATAATTGAATGCTCATTTGTCAAATGAGCAAATAATTGAATGCTCATTTGTCAAATGAGCAAATAATTGAATGCTCATTTGTCAAATGAGCAAATAACTCAATGCTCATTTGTGAAATTAACAACTAAGTATTTGCTCATTTGACAAATGAGCAACTAATCATTTGCTCATTTGACAAATGAGCAACTAATTATTTGCTCATTTGACAAATGAGCAACTAATTATTTGCTCATTTGTTAAATTAGCAACTAATTATTTGCTCATTTGACAAATGAGCAACTAACTATTTGCGTGCTCATTTGCTAAATGAGCAAAAAATCGATTGCTCATTTTCCAAATGATCAAATAAATGTTTGCTTATTTTTACAAATGAGTAACTAATTATTTGCTTATTTGACAAATGAGCAAACTAATGGTTGCTCATTTTACCACCCACTTGATGCTAGCCTCAGCTACACTGCAATACACCACATGCCCAACTGCCTAACGCGCTCAACAACAGCTAGTGAAACAACGTCACACCCATCACAAATTGCTCACACCATTCACACAACGCCCAAGGCCACAACAAATAAGTCTTGCTGCTTCTACCAATAAACAACTCAACATACCAAAACATGCATTACTTATCCAATTACATAGGGTTCAATTACATTTAATTACATTAATAATTCATTAATTTAGCATAATCCATACAACACAACAATCCAAAATTATTGAATTCTAACCAATCTAACCAGAGAAGTTATTGAATTCTATCATAACAACAATAGTAGGAAACACAATCAAAACACCAATAATACTTGCAATTGTAAGTCTGAAATTCTGAATCTTTGTTTAACATGGAGTATGAAGCAATATCAGTACGTATTTGTAGACTAAATATATCATCAACAACCAGATTATAATATTCTCGCTTACCAATGTCCGCAAGCATATACTGTATATATGTACACTTACATCTTCCAAGAACAAAGCAGCAAGGTGTCTAATTCTCGAAAATTTGCTAACATGCAAACTCGATACCAGGCATTGTCAGTGACTTGCTGCAGAATGTACAAAGAATACTTTTTAGCATAAAGAATATCATGAATTGAAATTTAATCCAGGAGTCCAGCATATTGCACTACTAACATCAGCCCAAAACATATAACAATCATTTTTTGGTTTGTATAGTATGCTCAATATGATTATAGTATGTACAATTCTTGCTGACCACTACTAACATTCATATTTAAAAATTTCCAGATTACTAAAATCGAAATTAAAAAATGTGAAACCCAAATTTTTGTAATCAAAATCGCACAATCTTGATTTAAAATTCGAATTAAATCACAGACAACAACAAAAATCAAAATCAGATTAACTTACAACAACAAAGGATGATGAAAATTTTGTGATGTTTTGAATTTTCCCAATCGAAAATCGCATAACCAGATTTTGGCAAAAAACCTAATTTTCGAAATCAAAATCGCAAAAACATGTTTCAAATCGATCAAATTTAAAATTTAACTGAAATTTACATACCTTAACAAATTATCGCAAGAAATTGATGAGCAAAAGCAAATAAATTGAAAAGAGAAGAAATGGAAGAGCGTGAAAATCAGAGAACCTGGAGGAAGAGAGAGAAAATCTAAAGAGGAAAGAGAAAATCTCAGTTGTTGGATTTGACGTAATCTAGCGGCTGAAATTTGTCCTCACATAAGGTGAGAGTTCTCACATATAGGGTGGTTCTCACCGGATCCCGACCCTATATATATATATATATATATATATATATAGGATCGAGTTATAATGAGAACCTCTTGTATAATAGGAACTTGGAACTAATTAGGGCCGTTGGATCCAACTAAGATGCACGCTTGATGAGTGGCCCAAATTAATTCAGCACTTTCTGTCATTTATCTCTCCTCAAGCGCAGCGAACTTCCTAGCTACCTCCATTGAAGTGGATTTCGAGCTTTCTCTACTCCATTGCAGCGGATTTCGAGCTTTCTGTACTCCATTGAAGCAGCTCTTGAGGTAAGATGTTTGTTTTCCTCTTTTTTGAATCACGAATTTCAATTTCACTATCTATGGTATAATTCGATTTTTAGGGTTTATTTTTTTTCAACTTTTATCGGATCATATATCCTATCAATTTGGAGCATTCATTTGTAGTTTCGTATACAATTGCTTTGCTTCATTGAAGCTAATGATCTGTATTCTCCATTAAAGGGAATTTCGAGCTTTTTCGAGCTTTTGATACTCCATTGAAGCAGCTTCTGAGGTAAGAGGTTTTAATATTTCTTGTTTTTCTTCAAATTTAAATCAAATTGCAATTGAATTTTAATATTTCTTGTTTTTCAGCCTGAATTTGTCTATTTTTTTACTTTACATTGAATTTTTGATTATTCAATTATTGTTGTTGATTTCTTAATGCACACTAAGTGTTTGACAAAATGCCTCAGTGAATCCAATTATAAGGGGGGGGGGGGTGTTGGTATGCCCCTTCCTATAGCCTGGTCACCACCTGATGAGGGGTGGGGAAAGCTGAATGTTGATGCTGCAGTTGTAGGGGAGTTAGGGACTGGTATGGGGGCAGTGTTGTGTGACGGTAATGGCTTAGTTCAGGGCTGTTCTGTGGTGCAGGGCATCGAGTGATGGGAGACAAATGTAGCTGAAGCTATGGCTATAATTATTTACAAATTTTGATTCAATTAAGTATAGATCTCATAAAATTAAACTAAATCTCTCCAAAAGTAAATTAATCCTCTCTTAAAGTATACTAATGCCAACAATTAGGACATTTTAATGTTTGTGCCTTTAGTGTGAAGTGTGTGGTCTTATAAGAACTCTGTTATATTTAATGAGCCATGGTAGAACTGGGATATTGGAGTCGCGGGGTTTGTTCGACCTCCTTGGGGATTATAAAAATTACATCGATATAATTATCCTCATATGTTGATGTATCAGGTCTCCAAGATAACTCCTCATTATGACTATCCTTGAGTAGTTCCTCCATGGTCGACCAAGAAAGGTAAATGATCTTAACCATGAATTTAGTTAATTTAGTTTGTGATTTTGGGAGATTTGGAGATGTGATATTTGGTTATGAACTTGGTGTTTAGATCATTTCAATTGTGTAAAATCACAGAGATTAGGCTTCTAATTATTGTTGGGAAAATGATTATGTTTTTATTACCTGAAATGTATGATACAGTAGGAAGTATATAGTTTTACAGGCAATTGTTCCTTTCATCCTGATTCCTGATTACATTGCTACAATTATACATAAAAAGGGGATGGCTAAACATGGGAAGAACTAATTGTCATTTGTATTGGCTTTTGTTCTACAACTGTAATTGGTTGGAGACAGGTTCTGACAGTAGAAAACACGGCAAGTCCGGAGATGTACCAGGCACTAGCAATCAAAGTGACCTCTAACTCTGCTTTAGATTGTTACTAGGTGTACTAAAACCTATTAGCTCAAGTGGTAGAGCACTATGCAAATTCATAGGGGATTTAGGTTCAATTTCTATATAGGTTGTTTCTTAAAACTAAATGAAAAAACGCTCAAAGTAAATTAAACAACATTGAAGTAAATGAAAAACACTCAAAAGTAAATAAAAAACACTCAAAAGTAAATAAATCAAAAACAGATGAGGTGAACTGGAATTGCTCTAGATGCTTGTCTTCTCACAAAGTATCTAAAAACATTCGGTGACATTCAATGGGGGATAACAAGCAAGGTTTGGGTGGAGCTGTTATGTGATGGTGCTATGCTTTGCTCACCCAAGTCCCATGGTGTGCAATAAAGCAAAGGCGAGGAATTCTCATGTTAGTGTGGCTGTTAATAGCTCATCTTGGTTTACATTAGGTTTGAAAGTACAAAAGATGAATAAGGTTGGAAAATGTAGATTCCTATAGTAGTTGTTTAAAGTAAATAAAAAGTATTTAAAGTGAATAAAAAGACTCTAAAGTAAACCTATTAGTTTAAGTGATAGAGCATTATGCGGATGCGTAGAGATGTAGGTTCGATTCCTACATAGGTTACCTATAAAAGTAAATACAAAACATTCTAAAGTAGTTCAAAACATGTCAAAAGTATATTAAAATAGCTAAAAAGTAAATCAAAAGTAAATAGTATTAACTTAAAAGTAAGTAGTATTTACTTAAAAGTAAGTTATGTCTACTCACAATTATTCTGTCTAGGGTGCACATTGCTAAAAAGAAAAAGCAAGGTATTAGTTTACCAACATGTTTATATTTTCAATCCTTAGATAAGTGCCCTTGAGCTTCTAGTAATAAAAGTAGATACAAAATAAGTTGAAGTAAATAAAATATTTATTAAAGTAAATAGAAATGAAATTCACCTTCTCTCCTTCTAAAATAAGGAAATTGCTATGAAGAAATGCTTATTGACAATCTCTAATTGCTATGAATGCTTAAATATCTAGTATAAGTGATAGAACATTCTGTTATACCTTTAATCCTTATATAAGTGAGCTTGAGTTTGTAAGTAATAATAGTAGATACAAAATAAGTTGAAGTAAATAAAATATCTCTTAAAGTAAATATAAATGAACCTACGTGGGATTCGAACCCACATCTTTTGTGCATTTGCACAATGTTCTGCCGCTTGAGCTAGTAGGCTAGTGTATATAAAGTTGACAATAATAAAATTAGCAAAGACAACACTTGCTAAGTCCAGATGAAATAAGTTAATGTAAATAAAAACAAGTTAAAGTAAATAAAATAGGAAAAATTGCTTTAAATAATACCACGTTTCACCCGTCCGCTAAAAACAAGTCGATCTTTTGATTATCTCTAAATAATACCACCTTTAATTGGTATCCGCTTTAAACAAGTTGTAACCTGTTGTAACCTAATTAATGGGTTATATGGACACGTGTCATCATTTTATTGGTCTGAATATATATATATATATATATATATATATATATATATACGGGAAGGTTCCGCTAAAAACAGAGATTATGGTGAAAACTAAAAACAAGCAATCTTAGCCATTCATTACTAGCACAAAAGAGCAGATGGTTCTAAAGCCCTAAGATCATTCCAACCTTACATATAATCAATTCAACCGTTTTAAAGGTCTTTTTTTTTTTTTTTTTTTTTTTTTGACAAACGCAACGTTTTAAAGGTCACTACATGCTAAAATAAGGTAACTTTATCTAAATTGACGATATTTACATAGAGTCACTATATATAAAAATAACGTAACTATATACAAAAATAGGGTAGCTATATCAATTTTTACCGTATTTACATTAAGGTCAGTATATACAAAAATAGGGTAACTATTTCAATTTTGACCATATTTACATAGAGGTCACTATATACAAAAATAGGGTAACTTTAACAATTTTTACAACATTTACATTAAGGTCACTATATACAAAAATAAAGTAACTATATCGACTGAGTTTTTGACACCATTTACATAAAGATCACTATATACAAAAATAAAAGTCACTATATATAAAAATAAGGTGACTGAAACAAAATTTACAACATTTCCATAATTCTAAGGTCATTATATCGAAAATAAGGTAACTGTATATAAACTTCGGGTAATTATATCAATTTGACACCATTTACCCAGAGGTCAATAAATATAAAAATAAGTATTAAAAAAGTCTATGTAGGATTCGAACCTACATCCCGTGATTACACGGTGCTCGACCAATTGAGCTAATAGGCTTTTAACACGCCAAAAATCACGCCCACATAAAAAACTAAGATCGATAAAGGGTGAAATAAAATCATCATTCGTGAACATTTAATTTTGCTCAAGTTGACTAATCGAGGCCTTGTAAAATTAGATTCAGAGTGTTGTACTGCTATGCATGATGGATTGGAGTATATAATGCATCATTTTCCACTGGATTTAGATAGTGTACTCAAACAAAATACAAAGTCTTAATACCATTCAAGTAATCAAGAGATATGAAAAATCTGATCAATAAAATTAAAGCTAAGAACAAAGATGCAAAACAAAGTCCTAGCTCTATCTTAGTAAACACGCTGGCCAAAAAAAAAAAACAAAATTCAAACAGAATAGCACATTACATAAACTTGGAAGTTGGACCGCTTAGACAATACAAGTATATGGAAATTCATACTCTAACTGAGAATTCATCATATGCAGACTCCTGAATATGAGAGTAACATACTTCCTGAATCCCGACTTAAGTTTATGTGGATCGAACATAACTGAAGAGGTATGAAGGCAAGGTAGAGCACCAAAACATAAATTCAGATCATAACATAGACCCAAAAGTTTAACAGGCCAAGATACTAATATAACAAGGACTGGTACAAAACTGAACATGTAAAAAATCATGAAAATCAAAGTTAAATTACCGTCTTGTCATTAATGTATCGAGTAGCATAACCAACACCAGATTTTCTATGCTGACCAGTCCAGAAAATTTCACCACCTAGAGAGATCTTTGGGGTCACACTCTGCATCCCACCAGTCAAAGGAAAAGAAAATCACACCAGTAATCAAAGTTCAACATCAGCGAGTACAGCTGAATCAACCAAATCATACCTCCACTGACCAACCTCTTAATTGTCCCTTATATACCAACATAAAATACTGGTTTTTGAGGTCTCACCTAGCTACATCCATTACAGAATACATACATTTAGATTAAGTACTTTGAAATGCAGACTTTCATCCAGATTTCATCCAGATAACCTCATATTACACTAGAACTCTAAGCTCACTCTAAGACAACTCTGCTCCTGAATCTCAATGTTGATCGTGTTCTAAGCAGAGGTTTTCCTTTTCTTAGTACTCATTCTCTGTGTACAAAGCAGAGCTAATTTATGTCTCCAAACTCTCACTAATTCACTCACAAATCCACTAAAAACACTTCATATTACTCAAAATTCGAATTAACTACTCCAAACTCTCACTAATTCACTCACAAATCCACTAAAAACATTTCAAATTACACAAAATTCGAATTAACTACTCCAAACTCTCCCGAATTCACTCACAAATCCACTAAAAACACTTCAATTACTCAAAATTCGAATTAACTACTCCAAACTCTCCCGAATTCACTCACAAATCCACTAAAAACACTTCAAATTACTCAAAATTCGAATCAACTACTCCAAACTCTCACTAATTCACTCACAAAACCACTAAAAACACTTCAAATTACTCAAAATTCGAATTAACTACTCCAAGCTGTCACTAATTCACTCACAAATCCACTAAAAACACTTCAAATTACTCAAAATTCGACTACATTAAACGTAATTCCTTTTTTCGATTCTACCTCTCCTTCAATGAGAAAATCAATTCAAAGTTCCAGCAAATTCCACAATATACATAACATAACAACAACACAGATCACACATGCACCGAAAACCTAATTTTCTAGATATCAAAAAACCAAAATAATTAAAAATATCAGATCAAACTACAAAAATACCTTAGCCGCTTCTCCTGAAAGTCGAATCCACCAAAACTCGCCGCCTTCCTCCTTCCGCCGCATTTAGAGAGAGAACGAAGAAAGAGAAACACGCAGTAGAGAGAGAAAACAAAGAAGCTGGTTGAAGAGAGAGAGTACGAAAGAAAAGAGAGAAGAGATAGGAGAGAGAAAATAACCTGGAAATTAAAGAGGAGAGAGAAATTCAGAGATGTCTGAAAATAAGAGGAAAGAAATCTGAGCCATACAATTTGATGAACGGCTCAGATTAAACGTTTTCAGTTTTTACTTTAACACTTGTTTTTACATGATCCTATTCCTATATATATATATATATATATATATATATATATATATATATATATATATATATAATGTTTTTAACTTTTTAAAATTATTGTTATATTGGTTAAAAAAAAAGAAAATTTTAAAAAAAAAAAAAAACCCATCCCTACACCACTGCCACTGCCAGCATCCCAACCCCAGCCAACCCAAATTCATCCCCTTCTTCTCTAGTGATGTTTGTATGTGTTTCTGTGGATTTTGACTATGTTCTATTCCGGTGTAGAAGGCGACTAATCGACTGAAACAACAACGGCCACCAAAATCGTCTTCGAAATTGTCGCCGTTGACACAAGACGCCATTGAAATTGAGGTCACTGAAGTTTTATATGGACTGATGACGCAATCTCAAGCCCCATCAAAGCAAGACGGTGGGATGATAATTGATTTAGCTAAAAAATGGATTCTAGATCTATTACTGATTCTAAATCCAGATTTTCATCTCGTGTTACAAATTCCCCTTCAATTCATCATCTTAGTAATTGTTCCAATTCTTCTACTTCATCTTCAACTGCCCCGACCCTTTTCCCCTTAACCACCAATGTAGCCCTCCCCAACAACCCCTTCCTTCGCCAATAAAACCCCCTTAAAACCCATCCTTCACCTTCGAAAACCCTAATAAAAACCCTAGCAATGGTGGGGGAGGTTCGGTAGTAGTTTTTCGATAATGGGGAGATAAATTTATGGGGTTTTGGAGATGGGTTGTTGGTTTAGCCGTCGTTCAGGGAAAAAGGGAGGGGGTGAAGCGCAACAAGGGGGAGGGGGTTAGCGCTGGCGCTTGGGAAAGGGGTCTGGATGTGTATGCGGTCGGCGTCAGAGGGTAGGGAAGGGGATTGCTAGCAAGGTATCGAGGAAGGGGAAAGGGTTGCTGGTGGTGGAGGTTGGGTGGGGAATGTTTTTTTTTTTTTAAATAATTATTTTAATTGTTAACCATAATTAAAGTTGTAATTAAGAGATAATTAAAGTGTTAAACAAATTTATAAAAATAAAATAAAATTGTTAACCGGTCATTCAGGTTGTAGGTAACATAACTTGTTTAAAGCGGATACCAATTAAAGGTGGTATTATTTAGAGATAATGAAAAGGTCGACTTGTTTTTAGCGGACGGCTGAAAGATGATATTATTTAAAGCAATTTTTCCAATAAAATATTTATTAAAGTAAATAGAAATGAAATTCACCTTCTCGGAAATTGCTATGAAGAAACGCTCATTGACAGTCTATAATTGCTATGAATGCTTAAATATGTAGTATAAGATTATAAAACCTTCTGTCATACCTTTAATATTGTATAAGTGAGCTTGAGTTTCTAAGTAATAAAAGTAAATACGAAATAAGTTAAAGTAAATAAAATATTTCTTAAAGTAAATACAAATGAACCTACGTGGGATTCAAACCCACATCATTTGTGCATTTGCACAATGCTCTGCCTATTGAGCTAGTAGGCTAGTGTAAGTTACGCATAAGAATATTTAGTGAATGCAACTGATAAAATTTAGTATCTTCATATTTATTTCAATGTAAGTCAAAATAAAACTCCATCTGACACAACAACCATCAACCATCAGATAATGTCACTCATGTCGAGATTATGAGCAGGTTGTGATTTAGGTTTCAGTAAATTAGTTAAGCCATGCATGGAACAAAAATGAGGACAAATTAAAGCACTTGGTGTGAAGGAATCAAGTTAAAACATTGAGGATTGTAGACTACCCAATGGCATCTCCATTCTTCAATCGTGTCCAAGTTGAAAATCATGAAAGTTGGTCACGATACTTGGTTGGATCTCCTGCTGTATAATAATCTACAAAAAATGAGAAAATTGGAAAAAGTAATCTAAAAATTGGGTAATACGTAAACAATAATATACAACCATTTGAAATGTATAGACATTCGAAACAGTTTTTATTTAAAAAACTAACCAAGTAATCAGTTAGTAAATGCAAGTGAAGAGAGCAAGGCCAAAGTTACATAAGTTAATGACAATTAAAAGAAAACACCAAAAATTTTATTGAGACCTTAATATTGTTTCACAAACCACTACATAAAGTACATATTGTTTTAGAGTGTTCACGTTAATATTGTTTCATCAACCACTACATATGTACGATGAAGGTGTTCCTCAATTGAGTTACTCTCCAACTTAAGCTCTCTTGTTTCCTTCGAAATGCGATCAATATCTGTGTCCAATTTCCGACTTTTCTTTGTAATCTCAGTGATCCTAGAGGGTACTTTTGGATGCTGCTTCATTTCTCCCGCAAGTTTAGCACACTCCTCTTCCCTTCAAAAACAGACAAGAAAATTTAAGTCATCTACCTTGAGTTTCTAACCAGCCATAAGAAGCAAGTATATTCACTATAGAGAAAGGGGAAAGCCAAAACTAGGACAAACAAGTAACGCTTGAATATTTAAGTCTTATAAATCTTTATGCCAAAATTTACCCAGCTTTCACAACATGTTTACACACAAGTAGGAAACTATAGAATGGTAATCCAACACTTGAGATTACTATAAAGCAGGAATGCTCATAATTATCCTCAGAACGACGTTAGTTGTAGGTACTGTATGTCTGTACCTTTTTCTAATTTCAAATAAAACAGAATGCATCTCTCTGTCAATGTCTTTCAGTTTGTGCAGTTTAAGCACTCAACACTCAACAACAACCAGCCAACACCACAACCTCGCTTCCTGATTACAAAGACCCACACCATTCACATAACGCCCAAGGCCACAACAATCTGCAGTGCCCTTGTTGCTACTACCAAACAACAACTCTCCAGGGCAGCCATAAACATCAACACCACACAACAAAATGCAAATTTAATCATTATCAATTCAAAAAGTAAATAATATAAGTACAAAAGTAAATATTATAAGCATAAAAGTAAATGAAATAATCGAATTGGGCTCATAAAACTGAGTTCTAAATCATTAATTGAACACTTAAATTACATATAACATTACACATAAAATACCTAAATAAATTATAAAATACCCTAAATCATACAATTAGATTAAAAATTATAAAAAAGAAAAAAAAACCCAAATCTTAGTACAAAACCCTAAAATGTAATAAGTAATTCGAAAAACACCCAAATCGAAATATATGAACCCTAAATCGTAATAAATACTTTAAAAAAACACAAAATCATTATAAAAGAACAATAAATAAATAAGAAATAAACTGAAAAAATCAAATAAAAAATAACAACAAAAAATCAAAAATAACAAATCGAATGAGAAAACAAAAATCGCAAATCGAACAAAATACATATCAAAATAATAAAGAAATTCAAAAAATCACAAACAAGTACAATAAATCAATACGAATTACCTCAAAACAATGAAGAAAATCGAAGAATCAGAGAAAAAACTTGATAAGCGAAGAAAAATTCGAAGGAAGAGAGAGAATTAGAGAGAATTTAGAGGAAGAAAGAGAAAATGAAATGAAGAGAAAGAAAGTATAAATGAAAATTAGATCAATTGAAGCAAGTCATTGAAAGCGCGAATTTACCATTTTTCCATATATATATATAGACCTAGTTCCTATTATAGACCTAGGTTCTCACTTGATCTTGATCCTATATATATATATATATATAGATATTTGCTAGAATGAGAAACGGGAATATGAGAAAGCCAGTTAAAACTTGCCACGTGTCCCTTATAAAATACAAAGTATATAAGAAAGGAATATTTGCTTTTTAAAAAATTAGGAAGTGGGACATATGTCAACTTTTAAGTGGCTTTCTCATATAAATATATATATATATTGTATAAAATTTGAATTTTATAACATAAATATGTATATGAGATATATTAATGTGATTAGGTGTGTTATATTCACCTGATTTTGACGAATATGAATTTATTTCAACTTAATTGAACTTATCTGTATTTATATAAACAACTCTGAATTTATATAAAAATATTTGAATTTATGTGAACTCATATCAATCTGAACCTATTTGAATTAATTTAAAGTTATCTGAACTTATTTGAATTTGTAACTTATTTGAATTTGTAAGAAAATATCTGAATTATCTAAAATAATCTGAACTTTATTTTAATTTATCTGAATTTATCCAAACTTATTTGAAATTATCTGAACTTATTTTAATTTATCATAAATTATCTAAACTAATATGAATATTTCAAAAATTATCTGAACTTTTATGAATGTATCTGAAATTATACAAAATTATCTAAATTTATTTGAACTAATTTGAATTTATTTGAACTAATCTGAATTTGTATAAACTTATCTAAAGTTATATGATATTATTTGAACTTATAGTCTTGAAATAAGAGGAAATAAGGTGAATTGAAAAAACCCTTATTTAACTTATTATACCTTATTTTAGTTGTAATTTATATAAATTCGGATAATCTTTATTAAAACTTATTTTAGTTATACATCAAGCTCAAGTACCATTTATTCATTATTGACCCTTAGTAATGTGTCTTTACTAAATAAGGTGTTAGAATTATTATGAATCCAACGTAAAATAAATGTGTTGCGATTATTACGAAATGGAAGGGTATAACTTCATTAACTATAACAAAATTCAAACATTACTAAAATTTGAAAATCTTGTATTCTTAATCACGATTTAGATGCTAATATATAATAACAATCTATAGTTGCCAATGAATTGACGATGATAAATAGTCGCAAATACGACGATAAATGCAAAACGGTAAGGAAAAAGACATTTTACAATGATGTGATAATCACCCGATCAAGGTGATAAGTCATTTTCTGTAATACCTTGAGTTGTCAATCTTATAACAATTCTAATAAGCCAATACAAAACTTAATTAAATGAAACCCAACAGACTATATATGAATGAAAATCTCCAATAACAAAAATGACATATATGACATGTATTCTTATATAGCTAAAACGACTTGAACTGAGATTGATCCAAATTCCAATTAGTCGACTCAAATCTGAAACTAAAGTAATTTTAACTGAGAATGAGCTCATAATCGAAGTATTTAGGTTTAAAGTTTAATCAGAACTGAATTGATTTGAATCGAGATCTAATGGAATTCAAAATGACCCGATCCAAAGTCAAATAAATCCATTTTGACCCAAATAAACCTAATAAGATCCGGATCCGAGTTCATCTTAACGCGATATGACTCGACCAGAATTTGACTTGAACCAAGTTCGATTTGTATCCGACCATGCTTGAACTCAACTTTAACCCGAATCTGACTAAGCTCAATTCGATTTAATTTGGTTTGTTATATTAAAATGACCCATCATTACCTGACCCAAACTCCATTTGGGTATCCGATTTGACACCTCTACTCGGGGTCATTGGCTCATTTAATCAACAAATAAGTAAAAATTATTTGCTCATTGATTAAATGAGCAAATGACCCCGGGTGTACGGTACATCCAATTGTATATAACAAATTCTATACTTTAATTGCCATTAGATTCAGGTTGTGTATTGGGTCGAAGAACTACTCAAATTTTAGTTGTTAATAACCCAACCTATTTTTATTTCTTAGCAAATTTCCTATTTTATTCTAAGCCCAAACCTTTTACTTAACATCTCTTTATTTTATTTTAAGTCCAATCAACTTTATTTTTGACCCGCTTAATTCAAGCCCGCTAAAAAGGTTCACGAAGTCGTTTATGTGTTTTACAGACGAGTAAATAGATGAATTTTCTCTATAAAATTGGATAAAATTGAAAAGCAGAGTTATCCTTAAATTTTGATTTGTCTCGCCACGCACATATTGTCGTAACGCGATGACCTTATTATGGTACCGGTACGACGACTTTGCCGACTCACACCGCATGCCAGTGTAACACGCTGGTTGATTGGAGTGGCATGACAATTTCTTTTCATATTTTTATCATTCCAGATCCATCGTAGCACCCTGAACTTTTCGCGTCACAATGATTTATCATTGTGTCATGACAAAATTAAAAGAATTATGTCTTCGTCAAGTGCAATTACTAGATATATCAAGGATCACTATTATGGAGATATTTAGTTCGTTATTTCGGGTCCTCATTGTCTATTGCTAGATATGACAAATGATTTTTGGGCTAGTCAAATAGTCCAAAGCCCAATAGAATGGATCTTATGAGGTCACACACAAGAGTATTGGATTAAACAAGTGTGAGGCCCATTAATGGTCCTTATGAGGCTATGACAAACCATGTAAGGGTTTGGGCTAGAGTAGTTAGAATAGAGTTAGGAATTTGGGCTTGGCATGGATTTTTATTTCTAGATATGATCTATAAATATAAACCATGCCTAAGGTTGACATAGGACACAATCAACAGTTAGTGAATTGTGTAGCAAGGCAACCAAATTCCCAAAACCCTAATCTCTCTCCTCCTCACGCACGCCCTCCCCCTTCACCAAACCATACGGCCGGCCACCCCTTGGTGGCTCATGGTGCTTGTCGTGGTGGATCGTGGTTAGTTCGTTCCTCTCCTCTCCGTAGAAGGTTGATTGAAAGGGTTCAATCACAACTAACTAGTATTAGTGGAGGTTCAATCCGTGCTCGTGGACTAAGTAGAGGAATCACACCTGGGGTTCTTGTTCTCCTACTGTTCTTGCTAGATCACACGTGGAATCACGCTTCAAAGGTATAATTTTATGTTCTTTATGTGTTATGCATTGATCTTGGTTGTTAGATGCTTATGAATATGATTCATGCAACTCAGCTCAGTGCATCTAATGTCCAACAGTGGTATTAGTTATCCTTTAGCTTATGCATATTGAATTTAATTCTTTGTTGTTCTCAATTTTAATTCAATTAAGAGGGATAATTATTTAATTATGGGTCAATTATTATTTTAAATGAGATTTAACATATGGAATCATTAAAAGTTGTTTAATTTTGCTCGAATTTACCCTAAAAGGACCGAATTTTTCCCTAGGTTTGTTTTAATTAAATTAAAATTTTCAAAAAAAAAATATAAAAAAAATAAAGAGAATTTTGGGCAACAGTCGCGGCTGGGGGCATTGCCACGGTGGCTGCCGCTGGTGGTGGTCCAATAGGGAGGGGTGGGATGGGGTAGCAGGTCGGTCAGCGTGGACAGCAATAGCACCACCGTACAAGGTGATATTTAGGTAATTAATTATTTAGGTAATTAATTGTAGTAGCTAAAATATGAAATATTTAGGTTTCATGTTACCTTGATTATGAACATTCGATGTTGTAGTTTAGGAAAGCATGATGAGTGATTTATTATATTACATTTTATAATATATGATGTTATTTTTGCTTTATATAGGCTAGTATGGCCCATAGATTCTAAATACGATCTCCACATCGTGATGTATTTTTGTAATCTAAATACGGTATGCGTACTGGTTAAGTATTTTTGTAATTTATTTTATTTTACTTAAATAGTAGGTAGAATAGAATAGTATTGCAGGTTGCAGTTAATCCAAGAAGCCAATTGAGTAAAGGCCCAAAGGAGAAAGATGGATGAGATCCATGAGATCCATACTATGTCATGTTTTATTTATGCATTAGTAGATTATGCATGTTAGATTTTATTTATGCTTGTGATAATGCGCTAGAGTTCACTAATTAATCCTAATATAATAAATCTAGGTCCCGGTAATATTGAGATTGTTTTTCCAATTAGATACCCAACAATCCTTCAATCATGAGTTGTGGGTCTACCTCCGTAGGGTGTCACTTGTTATCTTAGGTAATTTGGGGTAGATTACATTCTACACATTTAGTTGGTTTACGCTCAACAAGGTTACCTAAAGAGTTTAGAACCTTGAAACAAAGGGTAATAATTAAACATGTGATGGGTAATTATTTAACCAAGAGTTACAAGAGTTGTAATCAGTAAAGAGATTACTCACCTTGAAAATGTAATGCTTGATGGTATGGCCTTAGTCCGGTCAACTATTACACAAATAAAGGATCTTGGAATCACTTAATTCAATTGAAATTAATTAATATTGAATAAAATGTTTTAAAGTAACCTATTTAATTCGCTTATGGTGCTTTAATTTATATTGAACATAATTATTGAACTTTGCCTCGTTTTGATTTTGTTTGTAGATGAATAGCTTTAATGACAACAGTAACTTGGCAACCAAATTGAAAACTAGGCTAAATTTCAGAAATTTCAAACATTGGGAAAATGAGTTAAGAAGTGTTCTTAAGAGCCACTAGCTTGAAGCTCGGTTATATATTCCCATTGAAAGCAGATTTACAGCCAAAAGACATGCAAAAGATGTTTCAAATGCAGAGAAAATCAGGAATCTCATGTTAGCTTCTATTTCAACATGTTGGAAGAGAAGGTTTAAGGATTATGAGCCAACCTTACTGCGAGAATGCCTACATGCTATCTGTGAAGTTTGCATAGGGGCATTAGGAAGTGGAGGCATCATTGACAAGAATGTCAAGAAAATTTTTGATTCGATTCCCACGGTATATTTCTCTTTGATTGACAGTGTAAGGTTTGAGATTTACAACATTCATTGTAAGATAATAACTAAGAAACTCATACCTGCTTTCTCTCAAAAAAAAAAAAAAGAAACTCATACCTGGTCAATCAATTAGGACTCATGTCAAGGAACTGATGGAGTTACTCAATTGGATGGATATCTTAGGGAGACCGTTTGATGATGACTCTGCTCATGACACCATTCTGTTTTCACTCCATGCTGGATTTTATCTCGTCAAGCTAATATATGATGATTAAGGCTCTATAGTCACGCTTGTCGACTTATTGATCAACTACATAGAGGAGTACTTGAAGAAAGAAGGAATCCAATGCTTCTATTACGGTAGCTGGTCTTACCACTTATGAGGATGTCCCAACAACATGCTGTTAAAAACGGAAGGTAAGGAGTTACCTAATGTTTATGTTGTATAAATTAACCTTACTTCCTCTTCCACACGGGTATTCGATACTAGTTGTGGTGCTCACATTGTTAATGACATGCAGGGCTTAAGAGTGAGTAAAAGGCTAGCAAAAGGGGAGATGATGTTTCGAGTAGGAAATGAGTAAATGTTGTTGCACTTGCTATTGGAAGCTATGAACTCAAGCTCCCGTCTGGACTCGTTTTGGTTGTTAATAACTGTTATTATGTTCCTGCGATTACTAAAAACATTGTTTCAGTTCCTGTTTTAGATACTGAAGGTTTTTCTTTTGAAATTAAAGACAACTGTTGTTTTATTTCAAAGAATAACAAGTTATGTGCTAGTGCAAATTTGGTTAATGGTTTATATTTATTAGATTATCAACCCATGTCTATAACATAAATCATAAAAATCAACGAACAGATGGTTCAAACCCAACTTACCTATGGCATTTGTGGGTTAAGTCATATAAAACCAATCGTGCATCCAAAAATTACAAAAGGATGGACTCCTTTCATCATTTGATTATGAATCATTTGAAAATAGTGTGTCATGCTTGCTAGGTAAAATGACCAAGTCACCTTTTATAGGAATAGGTGAAAGAGTTAATAATCTTTTGGGACTCATACATATAGATGTGTGTGGGCCAATGAGTTCAAAAGCTAGAGGTGGTTTTGGTTACTTCATCACTTTTACTGATGATTTAAGTAGATTTGGTTATATCTACTTAATGAAGCACAAGTCAGAAGCCTTTGAAAAGTTCAAAGAATTCCAGAATGAACTACAAAATCAAATTGGGAAGACAATTAAAACACTATGATCTGATCGTGGTGGTGAATATTTGACACAAGATTTTGATGATCATCTGAGGTATTGTGGAATACTTTCATAATTAACTCCTCCAGGGACACCACAGTTAAATGGTGTGTCAGAATGGAGGAATTGAACCTTGCTAGACATGGTTCGATCCATGATGAGCTTTACTGATCTTCACATATCATTCTGGGGATATGCATTAGAAACAATTGCAAAGGTACTAAAAAGAATCTCGTCCAAAGCAGTTGAAAAGACTCCATATGAGATGTGGAATGGAAAAGTTCTAAAAATGTCTTTTCTCAAGATTTGGGGTTGTGAAGCCTATGTAAAATGTTTACAAGGTGACAAACTAGGCCCTAAATCAGACAAATGTTTCTTCGTGGGTTATCTTAAGGAAACAAGAGGGTATTATTTCTACAATCGCGAATATAACAAAGTGTTTGTTATTCGCAATGGTGTCTTTCTAGAAAAGGAATTTCTTTTTAAAAAGCCAAGTAAGAGTGAAGTGGTTCTCGAAGAAATTCGAGACAAGCAACAAATGGATGTGGATAACACCGTGTCAGAGGCGAGGGCGCATGAGTCAACTAATTTGACAAATCATGCGTCGGAACAAGTTAATTCAACTAGCAAGACTTCTATCGTCCTACTTAAATCTAATTCTTGCGAAAATCTTCAAAAAGTTGAAGAGAATATTTCTACTGTTGCTCTTACCCTACGTAGGTCTAGCTGAATAAAAAACAAACAGTTTGTTGATGTTATGCTAACTAAAAATTCTAAATTCTTCTTATTAGAGAATGAAGAACCTACAAGCAAGCTTTGGCGAGCCCCGACTCCGAAAAATGGCTTGAGGCCATGAAATCCGAAATGGAATCCATGTCTGAAAATGGTGTGTGGGCATGAGTAGACATGCCTAATGGGGTCAAACTTATTGGTTGCAAATGGGTCTACAAGATCAAGACAGAAAAAGATGGAAATGCCTACATTTATAAAGCAAGACTGGTTGCAAAAGGGTTCAGACAAAACGGATTCTTCTAGCGATTACTGCATTTATCGATTACAAAATTTAGCAGATGGATGTTAAAATCGCCTTCTTGAATGGGTTCTCGACGGAGGATGTGTATATGACACAACCTGAGGGTTTTGAAGATCTAGAAAATCATGTCAGGGTATGCATACTTCAGAAATCCATTTATGGATTAAAGCAAGCATCAAGGAGTTGGAACCTTCGTTTTGATGAGGCAATCAAACAGTTTGGTTTTCTCAAGAGCGAAGAAGAACCTTGTGTATACAAGAAGTCTAGTAGGAGCAACCTAGTTTTCTTAGTCTTGTATGTAGATGACATACTGCTCATGGGGAATGACATATTAATGCTTGAGTGAGTCAAGGAATGGTTGAAGAGTTGTTTCTCCATGAAAGACTTGGGTAATGCCGAGTACGTTTTGGGAATCAAGATCCATCGAGACAGGTCTTGAAGGATGATTAGACTAAGTCAAGAGACTTATATTGATAAGGTTCTTGACAGTTTTGCGATGAAAGATTCCAAGAGAGGATTTCTTCCTATGTCTCATGGTATTACGCTTAGTAAAGCTCAGTGCCCTCAAAAGCTAGAAGAGTTGAGACGTATGGCTGATAGACCTTATGCTTCTGCAATAGGGTCTATTATGTATGCCAGTTTCATATGCTCTTAGAATGTATACCAGATTTCAGGCAAATCCAGGTGAAGCACACTAGACAGTTGTCAAGAACATTCTTAAGTACTTGAGAAGGACTAAAGGAATGTTTCTAGTATATGGTGGCAAAAATGAGTCGATTGTCAAGGGCTATACGGATGCGAGTTTCCAAATAGACAGAGATGACTTCAAATGCCAGTTAGGGTGAATTTTTTGTCTAAATGGAAGAGGAGTGAGCTAGAAGAGTTTGAAGAAAAGCACTATCGCAGACTCTATGACAGAATCAGAGTATTTGGCTGCCGTTGAAGTAGCTAAGGAAGAAGTTTGGATTAAGAAGTTCCTTACTGAGCTGGATATTGTACCAATTGCTCAAGAAGGAATTGAATTGTACTGTGATAACAATGGCGCCATACATGTTGAGAGGAAGTATCACCTCATCCGAGAGATCGTTCCCAAACAAGATGTCAAGATGAGCAAAGTTCATACAGATGAGAATATTGCTGATCTGCTCACTAAACCCCTTCCATAGCCCAAGCATGAAGTTCATACTAGGGTAACTGGATTGAAGCAAGTGACGTAATTTAAGTTGTATTTGTTTTGAGAAAACTTATTAAGTATGTAATACATTCATTAGCAGAAATATTTTTAGTCATAAATTAATTATTTATCTTATTTAATTATGGGTTTTGATATTAAATAAAATGTCCAAAATAATTACGAATTGATGTGCTCATCAAGTTGTTGACTCGGTGAATGAAACCCCACAAGTGAACTGAATTCATAAATTATTTGAGTTGCTAGTTCAAAATTGTTAAATTGGACATAAATGATTTCAATCAATGGACTAACATGTAAGATTGATTGGATAGCGCAGTTTCATGGGCTATAGGGGTATAGAGATGCTCGGTCAATCACATGGATATGCATGAATGATGCATGATCGAACTATAGTCCTACTTTGAAGTTCAAGTATAGAGCTTTCGGATATATTAGTAGATTCCTTTGACATGAGTGGAACATTGATTTAATTCAATGAATGATTTAACTTTGGTACATTCAAACGTCATAACGTAAAAGGGGGCTATAAAGGGTGTTTCCCGGTTACTTCAAGAATTGAGTGGGAGCTTTGGTTGCCACAAGATTGGATTGAGTCTACCTATTTAATTAGGAATGTGTTGTAGCCCCTTGAAGAGGGAGAATTCATAAAATGCATGGTCGTGCTCAAATGGATTACCTAGTACTCATTTGTTTTGTAATTATAACTCTGTTTTCCAGAAAAGATTTGTAGATTAATATGATCACGACATAAAAATACAATCATATTATCAAATCGACACACATTGACTTAAGGAATTTGAATATTGCGCACTTGTCTTAGACAGGTGGGAGATTGAAGGAATTATGTCTTCGTCAAGTGCAATTACTAGATATATCAAGGATTGATATTATGGAGATATTTGTTTCATTCTTTCGGGTCGTCATTGAAAGGAATGGTGTCTTTCCAACAAGTGTATTATTCCGATATAGGGTTTGGAATTATTAGAAAGCTAATTATTCAGTGAGGTCAAGTGATCGGAATGCCTAGGTGGAAGCCGCTTTCGATTAGTAATATTAATATATAATTAATATTACAGCTTAATCTTTACTGAATTCTTCGGGTCGCACCGCAATCAAGTAACCGATCTGAGACAACGAATCAATCTGAAGGACTAGATGAGTCATTAGAGTATTAAGAACAAAGACGTAAGGTATCGAGCTTAGAGCGTCGAAACCGAGAGTCGTAAGTCGAGTTGAATTCGGGATTCGACGAGACGTGAAATCAAGCAAGCAAAAAGTGTAAGCTAAGCCGTAGCATAGCATTGGCATACCCATGCGAGTACTAGGCAACGCATGGCTATGCCGCAAGCCAAGCATGCATGTGCGTGCTAGGCTCGCTGGCCGAGCATGCTTGCGAGCATCGCAAGCAGCGTGCTATGTGTGCGTGTGCTGTGGATGTGCATGTTTGCTAGCATAGCAGCACCAGCCACTCGCAGCAGCTGGGCATCGCACAACACAGCTCGCAGCATCACAAGCAAGATTCTGACTTGGAGTATGCTGAGGATCTAGAAAATAAATTATTTGATGATATATTATAATTCATGTTAGCGTGTTATGCGTGCGTGTGTTGTCGCTGTGCGTGCTTGCTAGCATTGCAGCACTTGCCACAAGCAGGAGCTGAGCCTCGCTAGCGCACGCAACGCAGCAGCATCAAGGGAATTTTGGTCCCCCCTAGTGGTCCTCACCTACCCTTGCTCACCATATGCCACTTGCACTTGTTGATTCATTTCATTTTAATTTGTTTTTAGATTAAAATAAATTGAGCAAAATGAAACTCTCCCACATTGAAGGAAGATGGGAAATTAAGACTCCCTTCCCTATAAATACCCATGTTTTGGGTTTGGGAAAAAGCACTTGATTTGAACTAAATAAGGCATCTCCTTATAAGTGGGAAAACCTTTAAGTTCGTAATACTCTAATATTTTGTTGATCTAGCCTCGAATGACCTTCGAGGTAGAGACCACTCTGGTCAGGTCGAAGGTGCGAGCCGTCGGAGGCTTACGCACTTGCGAAACTAGAGCTTTCAAGTAAGAGCTTGTAAGCGAGCGAAGCACACGTCGCGGATAAGATCGTATTTTCTCTTTCTCTCTCTTTTGTTGTTTAATTATGTGTTTGCATGTTTAGTTACATTAATTAATGTCGGGTCTTGGGCGGGTTTCATTCCCCGTAGTGTCGGACACTACGAAACCCAACAGAGGTATCGAAGCCACGCTCATTTTAATTGTTGTAACTAATAATTAATTGAGGTGATTTAAAATGGATTTAAATTTCTGGTTTAGCTCTCTAATTAGATTAGAAGCTGGTTTTAATTAATTTAAATCTCGTATTTATACTAATTTTGACCAACGAACCCAGATTTTGACCCAAAAATAGTGAATTTTGGGTGGAATCGATGTTCTAAATTGTTTTTGACCCTTTACGAGGACTGTCCAGAAGCCAAAATCCTCCTAGAAACATGTTTTTCGAGATGTTTTTTTGTTTTTGACAAAAAAAATTTATTCTTTAAACCTTGATTTATTATGCCATGTTAAAGGTAGATTAAATGTATGGTTGCATCACTAATCTACTGCAATAATAAACCTTATTAAGCATGTTTATGAAGTCATATTTGGTGCTTAATTTGGTGAGCTTATTTTTCACATAAACTTGAAATTTCACATTTTTGCAAATCAATTGCTTCAAGTATGAATGTTTATGGGGAATTTGTAATTTTGAAGTCCCTTAAAAATGTTAAAGATTCAATCTTTAATTGTTTTTTTGGTTGGAACTTTACTTTCTAAATTCCTTATTGAAATAATTTTTGGATTTAATCATTTTTGAGTTGATTAAAGTCCTAAAAGTTCAAAACTTGTGATTGAAATTTAATTAATCTTCATATTTGAAGATGTAATTTTTCAAGTTTACACAAGTTAGTGTTGGAAATTTTTCATTAGATGAATGGGTTTATTTTTCCAACCCCTTTAATTTTGTCAAATCTCATTATTAATTTATATATGGTTAAATTGTGAGTATAGCCCGTCAATTTGTAGCATCAAGATGAACAAAAAATTATTTAAAGAACGTTTCTTGAATTAATTTTGGATTGTTGCACTAATATTGAATTTATTTAAGTTAGACTTGTTTTATTTTCATTCTTGCTCAATGTTAATTCTAAAATAAATTTAGAATAAATTTTATGTTATACATATATCAGGATTAAATCCCGAGATAAAAGCACGCAAATTAAGGCAAAGATTGCCCAAGCACCACCTACGACTAGCCAGGCTGCTCACGCAGCCCACATGTGGCTGCAGAGGCGCGCATGGGGCTGCTCATGCCTCGAAAGGCTTCTGTTGTGTGGCGTGTAAGGCTAAGGTGAACGCTTGTTGCCTACACGCATAAGTGCGGTGTGTGCGTGCTTGGTGCATCTAGGATGCGCAACTAGTGCATGCATGGTGTTACGATAAGGGTGCGTTGGTGCTGCGATGTGTTGCTAGGCAACATAAGCTCGCATGATTTAGGACCTTTGAGGCCATGTCTTGTGTGTGTGCAAGTGCGCTGATGTGGTCGGTGTAACACGAAAGCGACATCGTAAGTCACTCCCTCGTGCTTGGGCCACAAGCTGTTGTACGGGTGCGGCCGCGCAAGGCACCTCGAGCCTTGGTGCTAAGCACTTGGGCGTCGTAAAGCATTGTTAGGATATATGTTTCGCAATTTTGCCATTTTAATCATTTTACTATTTTAACGAAGCTAGGCCTCGGTTTTGCTAGCACTTCCAAAATAATTTGGCAAAATTTAGGTTAACCGGCGTAATTAATTGGATTAATTAAGTTGGATGCGGAATTTAGTGGGAGCTTCGTTAATTACTTGAGCTAATTTTATTGCGTTTTAATCACATAATCGGTTAACAACTTTGACTAGTTTTAATTTGGCGCATTAATCTGATTAACCACCTAAGTTAGTTACTAGTTTGCGCGTGTTATGCATTGTTACTTGTTTTACGTTGTAAAATGATTAGGCCATTCACAAATAGTGAATGGATGAATGGAATGTATGTTGTATCACAGATTTTGTGAAAATGGCAACTAGTTTGCCACAGGGTTATGTTTATATATGAATGAATGGTATGATTAGATGCATGTTTAGGATTTCAAATGTTGCGATGATTAATTAAGTTCACTTAAATCAACCAACATAGAAGCCCTAGGTCCCTATAATATTGAGCCAAATTTGCCATTCCAAGAACAACACTTACCAAACTAATGCGCGTAGAGATGGGCTACGCCAAAGCGAGGCATCACTACTTCCCTAGGAACGTAAGGTATACTAGGTATACAAGTTGGTCTAGGTTAAGCTCAACGATATCAGTAAGGATTCCTTAGATGTCGTGGCAATGGAGATATAATGTCAAGGAAGCATTAGATGCGACGTTTTATCGAACCAAGAGTAGCTTAGAGTTATTAGCAATTGGATTGCTTACCTTAAAATATTAAGTGTTAAGACAAGCCAAAGCATGCTTAATCATTTTTTGATTTTTGGGATCTTGGAATCATATTATTCTTGCCTAAAAAGGGAATAATATTAATGCGTGGATAAAACGCTTAAGATTGAAAATTTTACATGTATGCTTTAAATTTCAAACTTATTAGTTTTATGAATGGTTTTTCATTTCAAATTCTTTCAATTGTAGAAACATGTCTGCAAATAACTCAAACAACCAATTTTCATTACGCTCAATTCTCGACAAGGAGAAGTTGAGTGGGCCAAATTTTCTTGATTGGCAAAGGAACTTGCATATTGTTCTCAGCAAGAGCAAAAGGAATACGTCCTTGATGAGGAAATGCCCGACGCTCCCAGTGAGGAGGTCACTCAGGCTTCCCCAAACCGATGGCAAACTGCCAATCAGTATGTCAAGTGCATCATGTTGGCCACTATGTCTCCAGACCTCCAAAAGACTTTCTTTGGAAACAAGACGGCTTTTGAGATCATTTCTGAACTTCAGAACATGTTCCAAGAGCAGGCCTGAACTAAAAGGTTTAAAACCCACAAGCAGATCATTGATAGCAAGCTCAAGAAACACTAGACGAAAAAGGTAATTTGGCCCCGGTTCAAACCCCCCTAAGGCACCGGTTTTGAACCGTTGGGGATTTGAGGGATGCCAAATCCTCAAAAGTTTGGTACCGGTTCAAAATCGGTGCCAACTAAAGGCTTTGGCACCGGAAACGCGCGAATTTTTTTTTTATTATCAACACTATTGGCACCGGTTTTAGGCAAGAGCCGGTGCGAAAAACCCCACTTTAGGCACCGGTTTTTGACTAAAACCGGTGCCAATAGTCTCAAAAAAAATTTAAAAAACTTTTGGCACCGGTTCTGGTACAAACCGGTGCCAGAAATACCCCCAAAAAAAAAAAAAAAATTTTTGCATTTTTTCCACTTATATTGATATAGAAACATTAACATATATATAAACTTACATATTTTCATTAAAAAAGGCTATAAAGCCTGTAATATTACAATTTTTGTCCAAAAAAAATTAAATAATCCAGACTTATCTTTGATCAATTGACTACTCTGTGGCTCAGAGTGAAATAATTTCTGCTGCATGAGGAAAAAGAAATCTGTCTGGAGGAATGAGTTGGCAGAAATCTGAAACTTCAGCAATAGTAGCTTGTTGTCTCCATAGGTATAGTGTAATGACCAAGCCTGCATTATGACCAAACATTATTCCTCTTCGATTGAAAAAATTAACAAGGCAAAAACCAGTAAAACAGATGGACTGCAGGTGATTAACAGTTGTTTTTGCAAAAGACATGGAGGCTTGTACATACCCATCAAAGTTTTTAAATGTGAGATTTCGAAATCTAGCTGAAGTCAAGGCTTGAGCAGACTTCTCACCGAATCTGTATGCAACTACTTCATCAGCTGGAAGAGCAAAATGGTGATGTTAGCAACGATATGTAACTGTCAGCAATGTTAATAGTGCTTTATGCATCATTCGCTATGACTGACCAAAATACGATTGAAGGATGAGGCTAATCGATGTTCATTACACACGTTACACCTCAAAGAAAATGCAACATCATATAAGAATTCTCATACTTGTCATGTGAAGTTTAGAATGATAAGGTTCAAGTGTATAGCCGAGTTATTAACATACTGTTTATATAATTAAAATGGCGAGACTGCTTGTCTCTGAACTGAAGTATGAAGGAGAAAAGGTACAGAAGGACTTACATTTTCCATGACAGAGGAAAATTGGCAAGGACGTGGCCCTCCTTGCAGCATCATTTGAACCTCCCATTTTGTTCCTCAAACTCCTGGAACAATGAACATCAATTGAGAAACAAAAACTTGTTTTTGATCAGAACAATGAAAAAACATTAGTTGCATGCTCTATATATGGGTAAATAGAGTATTAGGAAATCTTTAGTATACCTTGCACCTGGAAGCCAACCACTAAGTCCAACTATTGCCCTCAAATTGATTGGATAGAAGTTTCCATTCGCGTATTTCCCCACAGCGAAGCAGGATGCTGAGTAGATACCAACAGCAGCACCCATACTAAATCCTCCAATACCAAGTTTAACTGTTTGAAAAAGCAATTAGTTTAACAGCAGGTGTAAAATGAAACTCATAAACATTTGTATTGTATTCTGGTTGGAATACACTAGTAAATAAAAATAATTAAGCTGTTATAAACTTATTGTTGTCATAAAGTTTTATCATATTATTGCTAAATATATTCTAGCTGTGCAAAGTTCAGACTGTTACCATCAGCAGGCTCTGTTGACAATAGATTTGCAATATGTGACGCCGAGGCATCCAATCCCTCAAGATCTTCTTGGCTATCCTCTAAAATCTCTGTTACATCAAACCCTATTATACAGAGAAGGAAACAACTGTGAATGCATATCAAAAGAAACGCAGAATTCTAATAATGGAATTACAAAGGATCAATTACATACGTAGTCACACTAGCACAATCAATTCCATCGGATAAGTTTCAAACTACAAAACTGAGATTTACACTAAATAAATAACTCTCCAACTTTTGATTTACACTCTTTTTATAATTCAAATCTGGCAGAGTGGTTAGCTTTTAATCTTTCCGGGGACTCAACTTGGAAAAACATATTTGCAGTTGCCATTTGGCATCTTTTAATCTTTGTTTTTTATACAATCTACTTTCAACAAGTTCTTGGTTGATTATCTTTTCTCTCTAAATTTAAAGCAGGGAACTATGGATAGACCTTCTTCTTCTAGTGCTCCGGTTACCAGAGTCTGGGGCCCTCCTCAAAAGGGTTTCTTCAAATTAAACACTATTGGTTCTTGGATTGGACTTGATAATGCTGGTGGGGGAGGAGTCATAAGGTGTGACAATGGTCTCTGGCAGGAAGGATTTGCCATAAACTTGAATGCTATGAGTGGAGATGGGGCTGAATTATTAGCTATCAGGGCAGGTCTACTTACGGCTTGGACAAGGGAAATCAAGCACTTAGAACTAGAAACAGATGCTGATGCTCTGCGCAAGATTTTGAGGAAATAAGGGATGTTGCTTCAATAGGAACTGGACTGTGATTATCTTCCATGCAAGTAGAACTGTGAATCTAATTGCGACAGGTTTGGCACAATTGGAAGATCAAAGGTCAAGAAGGGTGAGAAGGAGACCTACTATTACCCTCCTGCAGTCATCTTTGAGAACTATGCAGCAGAAATCCCAGACCTCACCTCTGCTACTTAATCTGCTACTGCTTGTGACTGCTGTAACACCTCTAGCTGCAATTGTGTTAGGAAATTTTTTGTGAACTGTCGGCTATTTTATATTTCTGCCTTTACTGCTTTAATGTGTAATATAACTAAACTTCAAGGTAGCTTTGGGAAGCATAGTAGTGCTCTCACCTACCCTTCTTTTGCGCAGGTGGTTTATTCCACCTTGATGTAATATAATATATTTCCCTTTTGCATAAAAAAGATACAAAACTGAGATTAATGCAGAAGCATTATCTCACACAAAACAAATACTTCTATAATTTCACATTTATACTATTATTAAAAATGAAAACTACTAAACAAATAAGCAAAGAGTTTGAATACTGAAATTTTTTTTTTTACATAAGTCAGCAAATGGTTGTTGACAAATATCGATATACTCCATAACTACGATGGTGAAACCTGGTAAATACGATGGTGGAAGTGGAACCTGGTAACTAAGATATTGGAAGTGGAACCTGATAACTACGATGGTGGAACCTGATATGAAGATTGCACTTTCTTTTCCAACATAGAGACATATTTGTCAAGCATTCAAATTACAGCTTCAAATTCTATCACTTGTTGATCTATAGCATCGATCTGCTGAATGTACCCCTCAAAATCTTGTTACATGAACCTAGAGAGGCTCTCATAAATCATAATTGAGGCCAATACTACAAACCGAGCTCATATGAGACTCGAATCATCAAACACCATGGGACACGATAATCTGGAAAGATGGAATTTTAATAACCAATTTTGCTTCATCGACTAATTCTTTCACCAGCGAAGAAAATGATCCATTGACCTTCACTGAAGTACTGTCATCGGAGAAATGTAATTCTTTGGCATATAAACTTACTAAAATTCCCACGATTACACTATAAATCAATAACATCTTCAACAAGTCCAACTTGAAAGACATTTCCTCTACCCTCTCTTCTAAAAAGGAAAACAAAATTATGGTCTGCGTTTTTTCCAGTAATGATCCAGGCAACAGCCACGTATGTGAGTCTTACCTCTAGTGAAACTAGACGGGAACATGGCAATTATGAAGGTTTCAAGTGATCAAATTCATAGAATAGTTTGGTTTCTCCTACAACAACAACAAAGCCGTAGTCCTGAAATGAATTGGGTTCCACTAACATAAACTAAATAATCAGGTTGGACTTGTTGAATGGCATATCATTAGAATGCCAAAACCAGCAAAGAGGCATAACACTCTCCCAAATTGAATGAATAAACAATAATTGCAAGAGATTAGGAGCTGCCAGAGACTCCTGACCTTTAATTTCTTCTGACTTTAAAAAATGAACTATGAATCAATGTATACCTATGACATGAATTGATGAAACTTCAAGAAGATTATGATTTTAGGATAGAATTCAAGTATTCAAGGCAATTAAGATAAACACATATTCACGCACTCTAGTCAAAACATAAAGATCCAATAGGTGGCATCACAAGTCAACAAAAAAAACATTGTATTTACAGAAAACAGGAAGATATATGATATTTATTGATGTGAGAAATACCCATCATTTGCTAGATTTCAAGCATCTTGCCTTAACTCTGAAGGTTCTTTAAGTTCAAGGACAGCTAGGTAGTTTGATATGAATTTGTGCGGGTGCTCAACATGACAAATGAAACCCATTTCTTTTAGGAGGTGTCTTTCTGTTCTTATCAAATCCATCTTCAGCTCCGAATATTTCTGTTACAAAAAGGGGATGAAAAAAAATGGTGAGTACAAAGTCTCAAACTTAAACAGACAAAGACACTAATTTTCCTTTTAAGGGATAGATATACAAGTTAACTGCATAGACAAACATACAGCAATATCCTTAGTAACTAATATTTCAAATTGATAAGCAACAAGAAATGAGAGAAATACACGACTTGATACATACTTTAGAATAAAGATCCAAATGCTCGACAGGTAAATTTTCCCTTCGACATTCCATTCGATGGAAGACAATGAGGACTTGTCTGGCTTTCCTTGGACTCTCCTCAAGTTTTGATGCCAGCCAAACACAACTGGCAGCTACTCTCTGAAAATCAGTAAATTTAAGAAGATTCAGCAGCAGAATCAGTCCAGAAAGAACAGTAAGGGAATAGCAGAATTTCATGTCCAATCAAAATAAAGCAACAGAAGCAGAATATTAACCTTAACATTAAATCGGGCAAATGACTTTTTGCAGTAAAATCGATGGAATAGAACCTGGCCAGTTGCCATAACGGCTTGAGGTCTAAGATTAAAATACATGGAGAAAGCCACAGCAAAAATATACTAGCACAAGATAGAAACAACGTGAAGGATACAATCTAAGAAGGATGCCGCTCTCTTGAATCAAATCACAGCCATAAATCCGGAGAGTGTTTTCGGTTTCCTCATCAATGGCATCTTTCCTTGAAGGCGAATTAGTTAGCTGCTCTTCCGTCAAGTAAAATGTGTCGATTGCCGTGTAAATCATCTTCCATCAATGCCCAAAAAAGTTGTAACAAAGGTAAATGTTGATTATATTCATCTCATATACACAGCCTATTGTGACAAGCCAGCCTACATGACATCTTGTAGTAGTAAAAATAAACTAACCAGTACATTCAACACATGCTGCAAACAGGCCCCCATCCCTGAGCTGGGGCTACAGGCCCGTCCCTTAGGGAAAAGAGATTTGATTTCATATTGAATCATCTCGAAAAATACATAGTTTTAGGGATACTTGATTCAATAATAAAATTACGCTCATAATTTTCTTTTCTTTTGGATATGATGTTTCAGAATCTAAGAATTTGCGAGCCCTAAACTTAAAGCACTGATAATTAAATTAGATTAGATCAAATATAAACCCTAGATTGTGAAATTGATGTGATGATAACAACAACAAACAACTTACCTTAGAAGTTGCTTCAATGGGGGATACAAGAATTAGATTCAACGGAGAACGCTTCAATGGAGAACATTGAGTGCGCTTCAATGAAATAACTCAGAGACTTAGGAAATAGGAATGGAGGCCTTTAATGGAGAAGGAGATCGAAGGAGAGAGACGGAGTGTTAGGAAAGCTCAAAAGCCCCTTCAATGGAGAAATTCGAGTACGCTACAATGGAGGAGAGAGAGAGGCACATCAGATGAGAACGAAGAGGAAAGAGCAAGGAAATGAAGAAGAAGACGCGCCTTAAACTGGGCTTCTTTTTTTTTTAAATGGCACCGGTTCAAACTGGTGCTAATTACTATAGTTAGCACCGGTTTAAGGCGAACTAGTGCCAACTCTATTGCTTTCTTTGGGATTTTTTTTTTAAAGGTTGGCACCGGTTTGAACCGGTGCTAATTAAATGGGTTGGCACCGGTTTTGGTTGGAACTGGTGCCAACTCCCTATTTTCCAATCCCACCCTTTTTTTTTGGCACCGGTTTTCAAGAACCGGTGCTAAGGGGGGGTGCCTATTTGGTTTTTTCTATTAGTGAAAGGAGAGCCAGTCAGCCCACATGTACTTAAAATGATCGGATTATTTGAGAACATGGAAAAGCTTGACATTGGGTATTCAACCGAGATGGCAATTGACATCATTCTCCATTCACAGCACAAAGGCTATGATCAGTTCAAGATGAACTATAAATTGCACAGCATGGAGAAAACCCTCACCGAGCTTCATGGGATGTTGAAGCAAGCTAAGGAAACGCTTAAGGATGAGGGGAAGCATAACATGCTCATGATAAAAAAAGGGCTAGCCATTCAAGCGCTCGACAAGTAGAGAAGCTTTAAAGGGAAAAAGAAGACGAATTTTCCGCCTAAGTCAAGAGCTGCTAAGAGCGGCAAGGAGAAAAAGGTAGGCTCTTCTAAATCCGATTCCGAATGTTTCTTCTGCAAGAAGAAGGGATATTGGAAGCGGAATTGCCTCAAATTCACGGAAGATATGAAGAACGGCATCGTTGCTTCTATATAAGGTGTTTTTGTTATAAACTTAAACTTCGCTAGCAAAACATCATGGGTATTAGATACCGGATGTGGCTCACACCTTTGTTCCAATGCTCAGGGACTAAGGATAAGTAAGAGGCTAAAGAAGAGAGAGGTCGAGCTTCGGGTCGGCAATGGAGTAAGGATGTCTGTCGTATCCGTTAGAACTCTCAGTTTGTCTTTGCCCTCTAGGCTTGTTTTAGAACTTAACAATTGTTATCATGTTCCAAGAGTTACCAAAAACATTATTTCAATTTCGACGTTAGACACCAAAGGATTTGAATTTCGGATAAAAGACAATAGTTGTTCGTTTTATTTCGATAATGTTTTATATGGTAAGGCATATTCAGAAAATGGTCTTTATGTGCTTTCTCTAGACAATTAAGTTTATAATGTTAATGATACCACCAAAAGAGCTAAGACCATTGAGTCGAATCAAACCTACTTGTGGCATTGCCGTCTTGGCCACATTAACATCAAACGCATCAAGAAACTTTTTCATGAAGGTATTCTTGACTCATTCGACTTAGAGACGTTTGAAAATTGCGAAGGATGTCTATTAGGCAAGATGATAAAGCAACCATTCTCCAAGTTAGGAGAAAGGGCTAGTGACTATTGGGTCTTATACATACGGATGTATGTGGACCAATGAGTACACCCGCATGGCAAGGTTATCGATATTTCATCACCTTCATCGACGACTATAGTAGATATGGTTATGTCTACCTTATGTCGAACAAATCTGAATCTTTTGAGAAATTCAAAGAGTTTCAGAGTGAAGTTGAAAATGAGCTTGGCAAGAAAATCAAAGCACTTTGATCGGATCGAGGTGGCGAGTATTTGAGCCACGAATTCGACGATCATTTGAAAGAAAATGGCAATTTGTCAGAATTTACACCTCTCGAGACTCCACAATGGAACGGAGTGTCTGAAAGATGGAATCGAACCTTATTAGACATGGTCCAATCAATGATGGGTCTTAGTGAACTTCCTATCTCTTTCTAGGGACACACACTTCTAACCGCGGAACTAACACGGAATCGAGCTCCGTCAAAATTAAAGCGGTCGAAAAGACTCCATATGAATTATGGAGGAAGAAACTTCCAAGGTTGTCTTTTCTTAAGATCTGGGGTTGCGAAGCATATGTCAAGAGATTAATTTCTCACAAACGTCACCCAAAATTAGATAAGTGTTTCCTTTGTGGGATACGCAAAAGAAACCGAAGGGTATTATTTCTACAATATATCCGAGAACAAAGTGTTTGTTGCTCGTGATAGCGTCTTTTTGGAGAAAGAACACCTTTCCAAAATGACAAGTGGGAGGAAAATCAAACTCGATGAAGTTCGAGAGGACAAGCAACAAAGTCAACTTGACAAAACTGACAATCAAAGTGCTTTAGAAGCAGCTGTTGACATTGGTTATAGTCAAACCGACCAACCTCTTACCCTACGTAGGTCGCAACGGCCAAGATCTCAACCAGACAGATACCTCGGTGTTGTTTTAACCGAAGATCAAGACATCCTAATAGTGGATGGAGATGAGCCAGCGACATACAAAAAAGCTATGATGAGCCCCGACTCTGCAAAATGGCAAGAGGCCATGAAATCTGAGATGGACTCCATGTTTGAAAATCAAGTCTTGCCCGAAGGTTACACACCTATCGGTTGCAAATGGATTTTCAAGTTGAAAACCGACAAAGATGGAAATGTATCTATATACAAAGATAGATTGGTGGCAAAAGGTTACAGGCAAATTCACGGCGTTGATTATGATGAATCCTTTTCGCTAGTCGCCATGCTTAAGTCCATCCAAATTATCCTAGCAATTGTCGCATATTATGATTATGAAATATGACAAATGGATGTTAAAACCACCGTCCTTAATGGAATTTTGGAAGAAACTGTGTATATGACACAGCCGAAAGGTTTTTTTTTTACTCAAGCAATGATGGGAAGGTATGCAAGCTTAAGAATTCCATTTATAGACTAAAGCAGGCGAGTAGAAATTGGAATCTGCGATTCGATGAAGCCATTAGTAAGTTTGGTTTTATCAAGAATCCAAATGAGTCTTATTTTTACAAGAAGGTCAGTGGGAGTGACATCTCATTCCTCGCCTTATATGTCGATGACATATTGCTCATTGGAAATAGCATTCCAATATTGGAGTCAGTAACGACTTGGCTGAGGAACTACTTTTCAATGAAGGACTTGGGAGAGGCACAATATATATTAGGCATCAAGATCTATCGGGATAGATATAAAAGGTTGATTGGTTTGAGCCAAAGTAATTATATTGATAAGGTACTAGCACCATTTAACATGGAAGGGGCCAAAAGAGGGCACCTACCCATGTCACATGACATAACTCTCAGCAAGAAGCAGTGTCCACAAACACCTGATGAGTGAGAGAAGATGAAACAGATTCCATATGCTTCGCTTATTAGATCGATCATGTATACCATGATATGTACTAGGTCGAATGTATCGTATGCCTTGAGTGCTACGAGCCAATACAAATAAGACCCATGAGAGGCGCATTGGAATGCAGCCAAGAATATCCTAAAGTACCTGAAAAGGAACAAGGATAAATTTCTAGTCTATGGTGAGATTAATGATTTGGTTGTTGAAGGTTATACCAACACGAGCTTCCAGACTGACAGAGACGACTCCAAGTCATAGTTAGGGTACATATTCTGCCTAAATGGAGGAGTATTTAGCTGGAAGAGTGCTAAAAAAAGCATAACTGCAGACTCTACAACTAAAGCCGAATACTTGGTCGCTTCAGAATTAGCTAAGGAGGCAGTTTAGATTCGTAAGTTCATTGGTGAACTTGATGTTGTACTCTAAATAAAGGGTCCAATAGACCTATATTGTGATAACAATGGAGCTATTGCTCATGCCAGGGAGCCAAGGGAACATTAGAAGGTCAAACATGTCAATAGGCGATTTCACATGATAAGGGAATGGAAGTCCAAAGGTGAAATCAGAATTTGTAAGATTGGGACAGACGACAATGTAGCCGATCCACTCACTAAAACTTTGCCTCAAGTGAAGCACAACAACCACGTTGAGGCAATGGGAATCAGGCACGTTGGAGATTAGCTTTGATTTCCCTATTATGTGTTTTAATTAATTTTGAGGTTTTAATGTAAAACACTATGTTAAACCATTCGGTTTTGGAGCAATTAAAATTTCTGCAATTTATTATGACTTCATTTCTTTTTAATTGTGGTTTAGAATTAAATATTGAGTCCATTCGATGTCTGAGAATATTCAAAGCAGGGTATCAAGACCATGTCTTGGATAAAGAAACACCTATTTCAATTGAAAACTATCCAAAATCAAGGTCATTTAAATGATGGACGATTAATGACCACTTAAGATTAGTGTGTAGTATGATTTATAGCACCGTTTCTTGTGCTACAAGGACATGATTGTCATAAATCATTTGCACAAGTATTGGTTTAGAACTATAACAGATCGACCTATGAGAGTACTTTAAGAGATTTAAAATCGTCATAAGTATATTT